CCTATTGTTTTTCCACAAGAGCTCCTCCACAAAAAACTGTTAAATTCTTACTCTGGATAGCAGCCATATAAGGCCAGGAGTGAGGACACACAACATGTCCTCTGATAATGTCCATGGAGCCACCTGAAATGCAACAGAAGTGCAATTACGCTACATGTTGTCCAGAAGAATTGGGAATTTGGATATTTTTACCCTTAGATGAGTACTTACATCTTGGCAGTAGGGTAAGAGCAGCTAGGGAGATCAGGAGAGCAGGAGAGCAAACAGCTGTCATAGCTGCTGCTATTTGCTGACAAGAGCAGTGTAAATTACAATGCAGTCTTTTCTATTTAGATATCTCCTACAGGAAATTGGGGCTTGAAAGTTTTTGTTAATAGCTCCTTCTCTCAAGTCTTTCTTTTCCATCATTAATATTGTAGTACTTAACTGCAGCTTGGTTTCTTTAGATCCTCTTTTTAAAACCTACCTGTTTCTTGAATCCCCTAATAAAACCTGAATAAAATCTAATACCTGAATAACACCTAGATGTCTCAGGGAATTTGATGCATTTTTTACTTCAAACAAACAAACAAAAAAAAGGCAGCAACAACAACAAAAAAAGGAAATTTGTGAGAAGAATGAAAGTGGCTATCTTCAAGGTGGTGAAAAAAATGGGAGAATGAATACATGGGTGTGAGAGAAAGAAATGTTCTTATTGTCTTAAACATTGTCAAAACCACAGGAAGACTTTTTGTCAAACTGCAAAGGAGCAACTGCCATCTGTGACCACTGAAGCACACTACCACCCTACCACCGTTCCCCACCACCACCCAAAAATGTGTCTCCCGACTGGAATTTGGACTGTGACAGAAACTTGAGATAAGACTATTGTCCAATTATCTCAGGTCTAAGGAGAAGTAAACAAGGCTCAGAGAAGTAGTATGTGTCCAAAAAGCAAGCCAAACTCAGCAGCTGTGCTAAGAATCAGCCCTAGCCTGGGCTCGGCAGGTGGAGGAAGAGGAGGGTTTTTGATGTGTGGTGGAAAAATCTCTCCACACAAAATAGAAGGAATAAACCTCCTTCTCCGGGAAGACCATGCACACATGGGACATTCACATGAGAGGCAACTGAGAAGGGGTCATAAACCATCAAAGACCCCCAAAGCATTCCCCAGACTCATTCCTGAGGCCTTCCACCACCAGAAGACTGCATGTGATCTAAGTGATGCAAAAAATCCAGTCAGTTGCAAGACACTGCAAAGCTTCACCCCCCATGGGAGGTGCCTAGGCATCTTCTGAACGTATATTAATCCATTGGACACTATGTGTTGTGGGACCTCACCACCAAGAAGTCCAGAAGAAGAGGACCCACAGAACATAAAGAAGCCACATGTACGTAAGACAGAGCAATTTGCATTTTCTTAGAAGTAGTTTTTGAGGGTGCAGGTTTCAGATGCAGAAAGCCCTGGAGCACGCAAGTATCAAATGCAAACAAAATATCTAATCTGTGGTCACACGATAAAGATGAATTGGTGAGAAAGACACTTCTGTATTGCAAACCTCTGTGTCTGCAAGCATGTTTTGCATGCTTTGCTGGTAAACCACTACAAAAAAACCAGTCTACCCTTGTGTGAAGAAATTACAGAACCTGCTATTGTATTCAGTATCTTTAGAAAGAATTCAAAATGTAACTTGCTCAAAACAGCTAGCTTTCATTTTTATTCAAGAGTTAGAAAATGGCAGCTCTCCAGATTGTTGAATGAGATTGTAACACTGAAATGCTTATTTCTATGGTACAGAATCTTACTAGTCATAATCCAGTTTGAAAATATGTACACAATGCAACACAATTCATGTTTCAGAAGACTCTTCCAAAGCTCTTTTAAAAGAAAACATGTGACTTTTAGAGTTCATCTTGAAAGAGCCAGCTCTAGTTCCCCCAAAGTCACTATTCTCCATCTAATCCTGGAATTATTCGCCCACTGTAGGTTAACTCTGCAAAGAGGGACCTGAAGGCATAATTATGTTTGAGTCCTTTATGACTTTGCCCTCCCACTAAATGGCTAGCTTAGAAAGCAGCCATTTAAGAGACAAAATAAGAAACAGACCCATGTTCTGGCCAGTCAGGAGAAGGCTTGTGTTTCTAGAGCATATTATCTAATGCTGGGTTCTTTCTGCCAAGCACATTCAACTTCATAGAACTAACATTGATTTGTTTCAGTCAAGGCTTTGAGGACTCTCTGAGTTAACTACAACTACTTATATTTCTCTGCTACTCCATTTTCCTGTGATATCACACAGCAAATAGATGGAAAGAGGGAAGATGAACATCTGAGGCAGAAAAGACAACCTGGTGAGTATTATGAGACACTGGTACCAGAGAAGAAAGTAAAATAGGTATGCTCAAGCATATGTTTTTGTCCCTTCCCCAGTGAGTCCCTGGGAGTCTGTCTCCCAACCACTGAGGGATGTGCCCAGACACACCAGGGTGGGTTTGAGGATGGGGCAGCCCAAGGAGAAGACAGAGAAAGCATCACAGCTCTGCCTTGCTATGCTCCTGGCAGCTGCCCACTCTGCACCACTCACCTGCCCTCCCTTCCCAGCCCAAGGCAACAGCCCTGCAGCTGAGCTGAGATGCTGCCTGAGGTCAGGCACCAGCAGCCCTGGAAGGTTTAGAGGTGCAGTTTAAATTGGACCCCTGAACTTGTGTCCTAAAATCACACCTGACGCTCACCTTTAGCACCACCAGAAAGCAGCATGAAGGAAAAAGGAACACAGTCACTACGGAAGAAAAATTATCAAAATGACTGAGTATGAAATAAGGGATAGAAGACCTCAGCATAGTACTAGACAGAGACAAAACTGATCCACTGACACATGGGCTTAAAGCCTATAGCAAATTTCCCCAGAGGCAAGGGCTGGAAATAGAAGCGAGGTAGACTCATTGTTCTTTTACTCATATGGTGGCTCCTGCCAAGAGAGTGGCTGTGCTTTGTGGGAACTGTAGGGAGAAAGAATGGATCATTTTATTTACAATATGTTACTCCTCTTGAAGTCCAATTAAGTATGCAGCAGAGGAACTAATAAAAGAAATCATCTCCAGAAAGAAGTTTTGCTTTGGGGTTTCCTTTTACATGTAAAAGGCCAATAAATTCTAAACTTGACCATAAATTAACTTATTGACACAACCAAAGGAGCCCAGCCAACTTTTTGCACACCCTAAAATTTTATGTCAGTTTTTCAGCCTCAACTACTAAAGTTACAGGACGGCACTGACAAAAGCATTTGGGTACAAAATTTGAGGCTGGTTATGCGTATTAATACCTGTGCCATCAGGGATTATTTGAACAGTCAGAGAGGTTGTTCAGAAGGAACTTGCACAGAAAGTGATGAGTTGTTACTACATAATAGTTTAGGCTGCATATTCCTAATCCTAATTAGCAGTTTCAATGAATGTCCCAGTACTAGAGGGGATTTTTTAAGAGGTATGGGTATGCTAATACCTAGGGAGTTACAGAAAAAATATCTTTAGAAGTAAGTAAGATTTAGAAGTAAATCTATGCCTACCATCTAAAACCAAATTTTCTATAGCCCATTTATATTTTTTTCCAATATCTAAATGTACTTCTATTTACTTCTAAATATTTACCTGAAAAACACCTAGTAGCATTGGCTAATGTTTTATTCTGTGTATTCCAAATAGATTTTCCTTGAAAACAGATCAGGTAAAAACATGATGATACATACCAAACCTCTTTTTACTAGACATGGCACCTCACACAGGAGTATAAAACTATAAGTTTAAGCAGGTCTCAGTGTACAGGATTTTTGCTAAAAGTGCTCAGCCTGATCATGCCTTTGCATAGTCTAGAGGAAACAGCTTCAATATGGTAAAACTGCTAATTAAAATATCATAAAATCAGAGTTTGGCAAATATTTATAAGTCATAAAAGAAAGAACTGTACCTATGATGCCTGGTGATACTGTGTACAGGAGAACACTGTAAAAAAGAACAGCAGTGCTACAACGTGATGATAGTTACAAGTGATGTGGTAGTAGTGAGAAGAAAAATGAAAGAACATTAAAAGCTTTTGCAGTGCATGGAGTTCTCACCATGTCACACAGGTTGCTCTGTCTTGACAAAGACACATCAGTGACAAAGAGCTCCACAATCTCTAAAAATAAACCTACACCTCCCTTTTTCAGAGAAATCTCCAACAATTACTCTCTTTCCCAGAAGGGAGAGCAACAGCAAATTTGAGCAAGCTGTCTGCCCAAGGTCTTCTACAGGTAAAACTCATGAGGCTGGGCCAACTGAGCTCAAAGATGCGCCACAGCTAAAATACAGAAGCTTTCTGCAGGCTGATTGTAGTGGGGCTCAAGTCTTCAAGAAATCTTTCAGTCTGTGTGACAGGGACATTTCACTGAATGTACCTAGTTAGTAATAGAATACTTGATATTCCAATATTTTTATATTGATGAAAGATATTTTTATTATTTGAGTATATATTTGGAAGTGAGGAACTGTGGCTTTAAAAGGCTTCTAAATTCATAGAATCACAGAATATGCTAAGTTGGAAAGGACCCAGTCTCCATCAGTGAGTTACCTGGAGACTGGAATTCATCTCTGACCTGGAAGCCACCTGAGGTTCTGGAATGAAACTATATGACTTCACGTGGACAACTGAATCAAGCCTAAATTTATGTGAGCTGAGTAATACTGTGTAACTAGATACATAGTGGCTTGCAAGGTTTCACCCCAGTATTCATATACTAGCTCTCTGCAAATGCTACAGAGAGAAAATGAAGAGAGGGAAGAGCCTGTCTTCACACCACAGCAGATGACGCAATTTCTCACCAACCCCTCTGCTCTAACGTACATTGCTGGGGAGGATTTCTCGCCTTTGTCATGGTTACAGATGTCAAATATCCTTAAAAGGAAAAACCAAACCCACATCCTTTTCATTTATATATATATATACACACACACACAAATAGACAGATAGATACATAGACAGATAGATAAAAAAGTGAGTAAGGAGGAACACCAGACAGAAATCATGGGTGCTTTCCTTGCTTTGTACACCTTTGCTGCTGTCATTCTCCTGGTCATTCATGGAGGTAAGTAGCCAGTTCAATCCTTTTGAAGGTAAATGCTGATGTACAGAGTTCCAGCTAAGTCAACATATATTAATGTAAAGGAAGTAGTCACAATTATTATTTGAATTCTTATTATTAGCTCTTTTCCACTGTGTGTATGTGTTTGATCTTTCATACAAACAAAATTTCTGAATAGGTAGTATTAATTAAGCTGCAAAGAGGACGAGTTATCTGGAAAAGTTCTGAGGAGTTAACATAATGGTTACCTGATCTTTTTCTCTCCAGAGATATACACATGCATTGATTTCTTGATCTTCTCTTTTTCTGAAAAACAAATTTCTGTAGTGTGACTTACACTATATAGCCCATCTTCCAGCTACAATATTTAAGATGTGGCAGATCTGAGGTTATTACTCACAGTGAAAGCTAAGAAATTAACCATATCAGCAATCTTCAAGAAAAGAAATATGTGCAAAAGCAAAAATACTTTGGTATTCTTGTTGCCCAAGCTCACCCTACTGATCTAATTTCAGTCCTATTGAAACATAATGAAGTAGCATTGCTGAGCAATTTTAAGTGTACCTTGAAGACCATCATTGTGACATATGTATATATTTGTGTCTGCATACTTTGTAATGTTCTTCCTAAGAGACTTCGAGTGTCTTACAGTATCTGTTAGCCCAGCTGTGTGTGTTGTGGTTTATTTTTATTTTTAGGTTTGTGTGTGGATATCATTGGAGGGACTGAAGTAGCACCACACTCGAGACCATTTATGGCACAAATCGTGGAACCAAAAAGATTTGTTTGTGGAGGAGCTTTGGTCAAGGAAAACTGGGTGTTAACAGCTGCCCACTGTGAGGTGTAAGTAATTACTCTGATTCAGAGGTTGTCCTCAGCGAGTATCTGGTGTCTCTGTTCAAGTAGGAGAGTCAGTATGCCTGGTGATTTTGTGCACTTAGCATGATCATGATCAAGTTCTGATTATTGTGTTTTATAGTTTATATCAGCAAATGTGCTTCAGTGAGTAAAAAATATTATAATAAGGTATACTGATCTTCACTGCTTCTGAAGAGGTATTTTAAAAGCTTCTAGCTGCATCCAAGCACAGAATAGCAACACTGAAACAGTGATTTTGGAGGAAAGGTTTATCCTCGTTTTCTCAGTCAACCAGTACATGAGTCCAGATGAGTGGCCAGTCTAAACTGCTGCTCTGTAAACAAAAATAAATTCTTGTAACTTTATTCTATAAAAGATATGCAGTTCACCACAGAAAGAGACAGCATGCAGTTAACACAGGGGAAAAAATCCTCCAGACAGAAGACACTGAGAGATCTCTGCCTTACTGGGTATGTTGGCTTGTCACCAATGTTTCTTCTTCCTGTCCAACTCAAGATGCAAATGGGTATTTAGCCCCACAGAATCCCTCAGCCAGGCAAGAAGTGAGGATTAAATGACATAGGCCACCCCTCCTTTGTGGGGAGGACTGGAGCTGTTGCTGAGCCAGACCTCACGCAGGCTCTGTCAACACCCTGACCAAGGCCAGAGAATGACTAGGCTCTGCACACATCACGGAAATGTATCTCCTGGCCTCATCCAAGCAGGGAGATACATGGGACCTACTGCACAGGGCCCAAAAGCTATTGTATTAACATAAGGTAAAGATTATTTTCAAATGAGATTGCATTTAAGAGAAAATACAATGAATTGTTAACTTAATGATAGCTGAAGGAGAAGAGCAACCACTTTCTCAGGGTTATGTTTTCCACAGTACAACACAAATGAGGGCCAATATACACATCTGCTCTGCTACCATTCAGCTGCAAGATACATTGTTCGCCCAAAACTAGCTATACCTGTGGTCTCATATTAAGGTCTGCTTGGACTGCTTGACCAAGGAGTGCTAGACTTGTGGTTTCTATATCAAAGAGCCTCAGCAGGCACAACCCTGTCACCACTTCAGCATCTTGTAAGTACATGAAGTTGCAGAATAGTTAGAGAAAAGGAATGAGGTGTGTGTCACACAGATTCAGAAAACTATGTTGAAATGGTGCTAGGGCATAGCAATGACACAACACAGACCAGTCAAGATGATCTGTGAAGTAACAGTGAGCTATTCTCCTAAATTTTCAACACAAGTTGCAGAAGGCACAGTTGGTGAGACAAGTACCCATAGTAAAGCTAATGCATTCACCTCTCATTCAGTTCCGAAAGGGAAACAACAGGGATAGATCCAAAGTCAAGTTCCTGGGAAGTTGAAAATAGGATAGCATGAACTTTGATCCACTGAATCACTTTTTGTTTTAATTATTGTGGAAATAAGGTCATACTTTATATTTTTCTAAATTGCTGTTGCTTTTCAGGCACAAGAAAAGAGACTGTAGCAACTGAACGTTATTAGCACCACACGTAACAGCAAAAAATGTATAGAGTTACAGCAAGTGAATCCCACTAATCACGTTGTCCTCTTCTCAGGAAAGAAGGCAAAGTTATTCTTGGAGCTCATTCACGGAAAGCAAGTGAAAAACAAACACAGACTTTCCAGATTGCAAAGCAAATTCCCTACCCATGCTATGACTCCATTTCCAAGGAAAATGACATTATGCTGATACAGGTATAGACTTACACAACACTTGTGTAATATACATCTTCTACATTGCACCATTTTCTTCCTTCGTGTGAGGGAGAGGAGCCAAGGCAGTTTCTGGTGACTTTTTGGGGCGGTGATATAGTCTGGCTAATCCACCAGACTGGGGACCCAGGGATGCCCTGGTAACTAATTCAATCAACTATTTCTCTTGTGCATGCCAGTGCTAGAAGTAGATAAATTCTGGAGCTTGATCAAGATATTTCAGTTTCTGGCTTTTCAGTGAAAGAATAAATATAAATACAGCTAAGAAGTTTGGTTAAAAACCCTAATGTTCCGTCTGAAAAACAGTTCTAACTAAAAATGCCTGACTTCTCTGATTCTCAATTTTGTCAGCACCAGTGATGACTGTTATTTTATTCTCTCAGGGGTTTGAAAGCCAGAGAAGTAAAATATTTTTTAGAGCTAATATTCCAGCAGAAGCTAAATGGGTTTTCATGAGACAAATAATACCCATTTTCCTCATTCTTATGATGACATAAATCCTGTCACAAAGAATGGAGGAATCTCAAGAAGGGATTGCAGTAATCCCCCATTACGATAATAGGAAAGATCCAACGGTTAACATGCAAGGGCCTCTGTTAGACTCTGCCCCATAACACCTATTTTCCACATCTTCTACAGCTTCACAAAAGAGCAACACTTACTCCAGCTGTGGAACTCATTCCCCTGCCTACTTCAGATGATGATCCCAAACCAGGAACAATTTGCACAGTAGCAGGATGGGGAAAAACTGACAATCGTCGGAAAACGCTTTCTGCTACCCTGAGGGAAGTCAATATCACTGTCATCAGTAGGCAAGTCTGCAATGACAAACATCATTATAATGGCAAACCTGTTATAACAGAGAACATGATATGTGCAGGGGCTAAGAATGGAAAAAAGGACTCATGTGATGTAAGTATATTTACTGTCTATATCTGCATAAATTATATTAAAAATAAAATATAAAGTACTAGCTTTTACACATTTACTATTTTTGTCTCTCTCCAGTTCAATGAAGAATTTTATTAAATATCAGTGAGTTTACCAATGCTTGTTCTTTTAAGCCTTAAAATCAAAATTTTTGAAGAGTAATTTCATCTTCACAGACTTTGGATACAGTAATTTTATCCAGGCATGGTAGACAGCTATTCTTGTCTTCAATAAAATGAGTTAAATATTAAAATCTCCACACAACAATTTATGAGTCCATTCTCAAGCAGCTGACATCAGTGGAACAAATCATTTGATGTCAGAGGGCTTTGAAAGAGGTTTTGCTGATAAAAAGTATTTTCACTGGGCCCCAAGTCAAGTGCACAAGTGTGTATGAACTATCACATTTTAAAATATTTAAATATTGCATCTAAAAGTTACAAAAAAAAGGTATCAATTTCTGGAGACTTCATGCTTTTCCTCTTCATTTTCAAAAGGACTAATTGTTCCTTAACACTGAGCTAAATTTATTCCCCTTCACTTATATTTGAAAGATCAGATTGAAGTATTTTCTTCTTTTCTGCTATTGAAAATCTTAAATTCTAAGGAGAAAAAAACATGATAACACTGCCTACATTTTTATTTTCTCCACGCCACTGCTGTAAATTTAATTTAAATGAAACATTTTTTAGCTTTTGTTAATTTGAATGAATTTTTTTTCTTTTTTTTTTCCTAGGGAGATTCTGGTGGACCTTTAAGATGCAATAATGTGATGAGAGGCATCACTTCTTTTGGGAAGAAAAAGAAGTGTGGTAGTGTTGATGGCCCTGGTGTCTACACTCGACTCACAAACCAGTACCTCCAGTGGATAAGGAAAACCATAGGGGGGGCCTAATAGATTGGGTTTTGGGCAAGTGATATGTGTAATAGCATCTAGTTTTCAAATAGTCTTTTAAAATGGTTATACCGGTAAAAGAGGTATTTCCACACCGAATTTTAGCAGCTTGCTGTAGTTCAGCTACAACAGCATCTATAGCTTATACTGTCAGCCATGGAGTCATTGAATGGAGTTTTGTGACTCAGGATTCCAACATTCTTGTGTTGCATGTTGCTCTACATGGATTAGTATTTCTGATAAAACATCTAATCCACCTAGTTGCGTGCTGAGTATATACTGCACTCTTCTGTATATGGACTTTTGCAAATAACTCTGATATTTAGTGAGATGCTGGGTACAACTCCAGACATCTGAAAAGCTTAGTAGCCTCTCTGATTTTACAAGTGTAGTAGACTGCAAGTCTTCAGAAAGTTAAGTTGCAGCAACTGCATTTGATTGTGGGACATTGTAAGTGTGCATTTCCTAACTGTTCTGTATTTGAAACCTCTAGATTTTATTCCTTTATGTACTTTGCATTTAATAAAGAAATGGCAATAAAAATCTACTGATTTCAACTGAAATATTATATGGAAAGCTGTGTCTGTTCCAGTCCAGCTAGTCTGTGTACTATCTGTTTGATGTTGTATACACCAAAATCAGCAACATTATGTTAAAAAAATCAGCTGAAAACCCATACTCCAGAGAAGTGACAAGAAGTGTCACAGCTAGAGTATCAGTATTACCATACTGACATGAAGCACTGTTCATAATATAAGACCACATTAATTGTATGATGCCACTACTGCTGTTTCAGATATGCAAAGAAATTTTTTAAGTGCTTGAAGAAGGACTTGTCAAGAACTGCACCTATCTATTGTGAAATATGTTTCTGCCTGTCTCTGTATTAACAGTCTTCAGCATTTGCAATGCTATTAACACCTCAAAAAGGGCTTGGTTTCATTTTGTTCTGCTTCACATACCTACTTGGAGGTAGGCATCACATAAAAGAAAGCAGGGGACATCCAAGGAGTGGAGAAATTTTGCATTGATTTTAATTAAAAAATTATTGCTCTGTTCATTATGAGTGATAAAGCACCACTTACAAACACTACATGAGAAAATACAAACTAAAACTTTTTTACACAACTTCCTTAACCTGATCTTTGTTGAGAAGAAACAGTAGTTTTGTCTCAAAGGAATAATGAAGGATGAGGAAAGAGAGGGTCTTTACTATAGGGGTCTTTACTGAAATTTTTGATGATGAACCATCATCTTTGTTTTCCTTTTGTTACAAGCATTACACAGTCAGAACTTTTCACATTCCCATTCTTATTCCTAAAATGGTTTTTTTGACTCTTGGATTGAACACATAAACAAGTACACACAAACAAGTACACAAAAACATAGTCACAGAGGCACACACAAACACAAAAGCAAAACAGGAGAAGAGAGAAGAATTACCAGCAAACTAAGATTGCATCAGTGAAACCGAGAGAATTGCCCCGCTGACTGCTACCAACACCCAAAACGGTGAATTGATTCTGTCTTTAAACACACAGGAAACAAGTAATACCAGACTTTTTCTATTCTTGGAAACTACCAAACCCTTGTTTAGGCAAAAACTAATTCTAAAAAAGCTTCAGAAAACAAAAATATCCTTGTCAATCTAGTAAAAACTCTGTAGCCCACCATTAGGGCTCTGTCACCCTTCTCATACAATAGTCTTACTTTATTTCTTTGCTCTTTACTCATTTTTTCAGTGTCTTTCTTTCATCCTGCTATTGCATTTTTTTCATCTTACTGTTTCCTCTGTGGTCTGCTTTTTCCTCTTCCTTAGGAGTCACAGACAGAAACCTTGTCAGTGAAAAATCCCACTCAAAGCCTGTCATTCAATATTTCCTCACGAAGGAGAGGTCCTGACCAAGGAGATGTTTACAATGCATGAAGAAATGTGCAAGAGAAAAATGTGCAAACTTCCTCTTCTAGCTTGAAATTCAGGATCTATCCCAAAATAATTTAAAAATTTGTATTTTTACATAAGCATTATCTAGTGAATTATGCAAAATGAGCCAGTGAAATTGGACTTACATGGTTAAAAAGTATTCCAGCCTCTGTCACTACTGCCAGTAGTGTAAACCTGTGGAAGAAAAGCAGAAGAAAGAGCAAGAGAGAACTGAATTTTTATCTAGGTGGAGAGTTTCTCTGATCAAGAGACATGAACCCATTCACATACAATCCCACCAGTATGGGATAGAACCTATACTAGCTCAGAAAAATGTTATGATAATTTAATACCTTGTGACATCTAGAATGTAACTATTTCTTCTTACTGTTTCTATATAAGGAAATTGGAGGAAATGAACAGGTATAAACTGCATTACACAAACTATTGCAAGATTTCTGTAGGTAGCATCAAGTCTGACCACATAGTGGCAGAATAGGGAACTGTCTGTGAGACTAGTGCTTTTAAGTAGGGAAAAAAACGGATTCTCCAGTCTGAATTTCTTTAATCCATTTCATTACATTACAGACAATTACTTTGTTATATTTATATACCTGGAAATACACATGAACTGTCTGAGTAATGATGTGTTTCCTCTTGTAAAAAGTATTTTTGACCTGAAGTTTTGGACTCCACATGTTGTGCAGCGCTCCACTTTGGATAGGACTGTAGGGATGAAGATTTGAGTTTAGGCAACTTAAATTTTAGTTAATCCTCTCTGCCACCCCTGGAGGTTCAGCCTCCAGTGCATACAGACCTCAGATGCAGAACAAGCTGACCTCTTAGAAATGGGTTCTGATTTCTGTGTCTGCCTGGGCCTGAACAATATACCAGGCAATGATCATAAAATATGCCATGTTCTACAGCGAGAAAGTCAGGATTTCACATTTTGACTAAGACTTCATATGTTAAGACCTATGCACTGGCAGAATGAGACACCTATGCAAGAGCAGCAACTGCACACTCTGCACATTCAGAAAAAAGCACTCCAATATATGTTTAATTTCACTCTAGATTAGTTCCAGTCTGGAATTTAAATGCACACTTCAAAGCTTTCTCAGACACGGTCACATAACAGACCTACAGGTCACACAAACAAGGTTCTCTCATATTTATGGGTTATTGATTAGTTCTACTGAAGTTAGTGACTTCTCCCGCTTTTAGATATTATGTTAAAATACATCTGGGGCAATACAGCTTGGCAAGTCAACAATGAGCAATAAGTAACTAAAATAAGAGCAGTTCTTAGACTGAGAGAAATGTACTTTCTTATTTTGATATTTGAGCATCTAACAAAACATGCATGGTTCCAGTATTAGTCAGGTCCTTCCTTAACACATCCTCCCATCCTGTGTTATATACCTATTCCTATATTGGGCAAACTAATATAATTTAGGTGCTGCCCAAGGAAAGAAACAGAATTTCTGGGAGAATTAAAAAAAATACATGCATAAAGAGACAATACCACTTCTTATTTTCGCATTCAAAAGGGAAACAAAAATGTTTTTAACACTTCTAAAAGTTTTGAATTATTTAAAATACTATTTTGAATATTTAAACCAGATTCTAAGTGTTTGATAAAATCTCCAGCAACAAACATGCTCATATTAGAAGATAGGTACAGCATAAGTCATTTCCCATATTTAGGCATCAGCTTCTTGGTAGTAATTTCTCAATTGATAATCAAAGTTATCATTTTCTAGCGTGTTTTGAAGACCACATGAGTAGATTTATTGTAAATTAACATCTTACTAGGTAAAACAGCTGGGTGGTCTCAACCTCACAGAGCTAAAGTTAGCAACCACATGATGTATGAACAGCAGAAGATGAGGTTTAAAAAATCATGAGAACTAAAGACATGGCAGTTTCACATTCATTTCAAGAGATAACTTCCACCCCGTCTATGTCTTTTCATGCATTTGACCACAGTGTAATTTTCCATGAACTGACACTGCTTTACTCCCTTATTGTCCTATTCTTCTCCAGCTACAGGAAATATTCTAAATAGATTTTCATTGGGGGAAAGAAAAAAAAAGAAATCCAAACAATATGAATTTCTGAGTTCACAGGGCTTTTAGTATACAAATGCAAGAGTGAACCCTTACCCCTTGCCTCTCATCACTCCTAATAATGAAAGCAAAGCTGCGAAGATGTCTGTGAACAGAACACATTTCGAATAGCATTACTGAGTTTCATCTGAATAGCTTCTGAGAACCTGTCCTGACATCTTTCCTTGGCTGTTGACAGTGTACAAATCTTACATGGGCAGATGTCTGTTAAACTCCAAGAGGTTTGGTCCTTGTGAGCATTACATAAAAGTCATAGGACGGTGACAGCTGCACGGTCTGCTGACAACCAGAATTGAACTGGTACCCTTAAGGAATGAATGAACTAACGGTTTTGTTTGACCCAGCAAGCTTCTTTAACTCATCCATCTGGCTTCTTAACTTGTTGACTACATAATTATGCATAATAATAGAATTATTATGCAATTTTTTATATTTTCAATCATTGTCAAACATAGTGGTCGTGTTTAAGGAAAGGAAACCATTAAAAATCCAATAAACACGGTTTCCTAATTAAGCTAGTTATCATTACCACTACGAAAAACAGTAAAGAATTCCCAATAAATTTGGTTACAGTTCCTTATTTAAGCTAGATATCTAGAAATATTTAGATAGATTCTATACCATGATCTATGTGATACATAGAATATAGACCCCTGGACTGGTCTCTGCTGACCCCAGTCTTTGAACAATTCAAGGCAATTTACATTAGTTAGCATGTGGTTCTTAGTGGGGATGCTAAGATAACGTAAAATTTATTACAAGAAGCAAAGCTAGAAGCAGGACCTAAGACTTTATGCTGGCACTTGCTGGTGGATTTGATCTGTGTTTGCTAATTCAATGAAAAAATATGTAACATTATTCTTTAGAGTTAGAATACTTTTTCTCTAGGGTAAGACAAGCTACTAACATTTCACATGATGGACAGATAAGGAAAATTACGTTCTCTTAAATAAATTGTACTATCTTTTGCCATGTTTCCCTTGGAAGGAAGACACATATTTTGAATTCTTGAATAGGCTAAATACATTAATCACTGGCTTTCAAGGAAAAGAAGTTGTAAGAATGAGCTCAAATAACCATTGTATAAAAGCCTTGCTGCTGTGTTTGCTCTCCACAGATTCATGGCATTTCCATAGACAAGCCATCCCACCTGTTGCAGCAGAAAGGAGCTTGCTCTGATCTGGGCTCAGGTCAAGACTCTCCTTTTGTGACCTGTATAATAAAATACACACAAAAGAAAATGAAAGATACAGCAGAATTCTACACTGATTATGCCAGACATTTTCACCACCCCCACTCACATTATGGTTTGTTCCACCTTTACTGTAACAGAAAAACATGCTGCATAGGATGTGGGAAGCTAGGATTATCTGTTGAATATTTTCATATTAATAAAGAGCTGAAGGCAACGTAGACACCAGGCTTTAACTGACAGGACTGCACCACATTGAGGAGATATTTCTATCCAAAGAATACACTGAACCTGAACTCTTGAGTCTCCACACATTTACAACATCAGTCTCATCTGTATTTGGTAATGTCTCTCACTTCTGAGTTTTCCCATCTGGCTGCACAGGCCTTGCAGACAGTTTGTAGCTGATCCAACAATAATGAGATAGTGTCTCCAGCTACTTGGCTATTACTGCTGAGATCTTTTAACAGTGATCCCACTAAACCATTTGGTGAAATTGTGTCTTGACTTTGTGTGCAGTGGCAGTAAACCACGGGTCTATACACTGAAGGTAAGAAGTTCCCCCAGTCTAGCAGCACAAAGAATGGGCAAAACTCATCAACCTGGTTATAGAAGAACCTCCCTCAGTAGAAGCAACTGATTTTGAACTGAAGGCAGAAAGAGTCTGGTACTAAACTGACACCGTTGAGAGATGTATTTACCAAACTGCTCTGCCATAGACCTCCTGTATCATCTAACTGTATGTCAGTGCTAAGCAAACCCACGAGGTTTTTAGGCACACCATGGAGTGAGAAATTTGAAGCCCTTTTCCTTGTTACTGCCCATTGGCTTCTCTGGCTGGGTGAGTTACTGACAATCACATAGCTAAGCTAGTTACACAAGGGGAAACAAAAGCCTCTGAGTCATAGTTTCTAAAAAGACCAGATGAACCCCATCCTAAAAGGAAGTGTGAAGGTAAGAAATCATGTGTGACCAACTCAAATGAATGTGGGTGACCTATGTTCTTCCCATCACCCGTACCTGAGTTTTCCATGAACACAAGAGGATTGCACTTGTCTGGCTAAAAATATTATGGGGATAAACATGTGAGAAACTGTAAAGCCCTCTGAAACTGTGGTACTTACCACAATGGTACCCGATGAAGCCTCACAGGACTGTTGCAAATGGACAGAATCCCCCAACTTTGTGAACCTGCTACAGTGGCTCTTTGGAGACACTGTAACTAAAAGCAAATATCCGCTGTCCTGGTGCTGAGTAATATGTGTTCCTCCTAAACTTTGTGACTTGAATTTCAATGCCATCATTAAATTATTTCAGCACAGATTAATTTTCAGGTTTTGCACCTTCTCAAGTTACTTAAATGTACACAATCTTTGCTCTATATTTAGGACCACGAGTTTACAGCTCAGTGAATTCTTTACACTGTATCCATTCAGTGTCTATAATGATTTTGAAGGAAGAGCTTGAGATGTAGTCTTTGGAGGCATCCAAAACTTCCACAACACTGACTGAAATTTGATTAATAGTCTAAGTCAAAAAGGTTTTTGAGTGGAGTTTTCTGGGTTTATTTCATTGTTTCAAGATCACATTCAGGTCAAATATTTTTCAAAGCAATTACATATCTTGCTTTCCTGTATGTTTTATTTGATCGGCAACAATTTTTCTAAGGGGACGGCATTTGCAGCCAAAATTACTCTCTTTTTTTCTAATAAATTACTCTAATAGTTCTATCAGAAGTATCTCAAAAGTGGACTGAATGTTATAAAAATCTTTCAGTTGTTGTTTTCTGAATATGCTAAGTGACAGTCAATCTTAATTACTAAAGTACTCAACAGGTACTGATGGATCTTCATTGTTAGCTGGGGTCTTCAGCATTTGCAGGAGCATTTCTTTGGATGTAAAACTTCTGTGGTTAACGGTGTCTCAGGTTGACTTAGAATCATCTCATCCATCACAGTATTTTTTGTGAGCTTATTTTGATACATCCACAATTTCTTCCAACATTAAATTGCTTATAGCAAGTTATTAAGAGTCTTCATAAGCAGGAATGTGTCTGTGTAGCAATAACCTGGTCTTTTTGTTCATAAATAGCATCAGAAACAGAGAGGTTTAATAGCAAGGACCAGCTTCTGTATATAGTGGAGCCCGACAGCACCATATACAACTACAGAGCTGCAAGGAAAGCAGCAGGTTACAAGGGAAACACTCTGCACCACATTGCTTCACAGCCAAAATCATTCCTTAAAACCCAAACAGCTCTAGATAACACATGGATATTTGTTTCGAACACCATTTGGAAGCTGGTTCAGTATCCTTGCATAATGAGCTGCAAAAGCAGTCATATCTAGGTTATATCACCTGGAGGGTCATCAGCCTAGAATATAATGGAAGCAACCTGATATTAGCATGTTCAATCTAGGCCTAATAAGCCTCAGGAAGAAGTGGAAATACATATTCTGAACCTGGCATGGCCTTAGAAATTATAGGAAAGTATCCCATCATTAAAACCAAGGAATTTCACAGAAGCAACCTGTATTATTATCTTAATAAGTCAACCTTTACGATCCCACAATCAGGACTGTGCACATGAACACATCTATGTAGGCAGAGGGAGGATGTGAAGCTCTTTGCTCTTTTCTTACAAATGCATAAGGTATGCACTTGCAAAACCACACTAATCAGACAGATAAATAACTGAAATAGTTAAAGCTATTAACTGAAACACTTGCCATAGAGTTCTGATGAATTGAAAAACATGGGATACTTCCATATTTTCATCTGATTTCCAAGAAGGCCTTGTCCTATCATCAGTTCGCTGGTTTTGGGTAACCAGAGCAAAGAACAAATCCATTGCAATTTAAAATTCTGCTTTAGTTTTCAGAAAGGCTTAGCATACACCATTCAGAGACTTGAAATGTTATCTACAATGTTTAAACAAGCTACTGGGAAATAGTCACAGCAGAATATTCACTTTTTTAGAAGGATCATTTAATTCCTTACAGCTCTTCAAAGTACAGTTGCCTTGTTGTCTTATCTAAACATGGTAATAACCTATCAGTATAAAACCAAAGCCCTTAAAACACATCCCCAGCTAAGTTGTAATAGCTCCAGCAAAGCAACAGTTATGCTGCTTTATTACAGCTGAGAATCTGTTTCTCTGTCTCCTAATTTTCAAACTCCAGAGAGAGATGCTTGCCTTCTGACTCTTACACCTCACCCCTATGCTCTAGGAAATTTTTCTCCACTTCGACATTCTCTCCACATGAAGAGCTTTGGCCAAAACTATTATTACCAACAAGGAAATAAGATCAGAAGTATGACCATCTCCTCCTCAATCACAGTGCAGACAGAAGTGGTGAATGAGAAACAGCTTCTGAATCCAATCACACCCTGCAATGCTGAATGTAGCACAATTGCACATCTAGAGAAAATCCTGCTGTTCCTGTGACTGCAGAACCACCCTCCAAATCAGTGGAGTTTGCCAAATGAGCACAGCTATAGAAAAAGCACATAGCCTAAGTATGCAGACATTTCATCATCTCACCTGAGAATCTGTAGCTGCACTTTGGAGGATTTTCTCACAGTTTATTTCCCAGATACTGAAAATCCCATCTTTCATTCCACCTCCTGTAGCAGGGACTTTGGTCTGCCAAGGACACCAGTTTACAGCCTAAAAAATAAAAAGATAACACATGCCAGAACAGAATAGGAAGTTAGCTGGAAGAACAGAGCAGTTTTATCTTAGTTGGACAAATGAACTACAACAAGCACCCAGAATGTACACAGTGCAGAGTAGGATCCCAAAACTTCAAATGATGCTTCCCTTGCCATTGTTTCACAGTAGCCTACACAGTCCCACATACCCTTGTAAAACTCCAGCTTCCCTCCTTATCCTTAACAGGTCACAGACGTACACCTCAGTACCACAAGAACCCAGAAGAATGAAGTCTTACTGCCTCAGTCAACCCATCACAGAAGTCTAAGCAAAGTTACCTATGCGGCTTACAAGAGATGTAGTTTTTTTCTGGGATATTTCCAAGATATCCTTAAGGCCCAGAATCTACTTGAAAAAAAGTTTCTCAGAACTGAATTCCACCTCTTACAATAAACTTTTCTGACCCCTTAATCCTAGCACTTCAGGCCAGCCTCAGATCCTTTTGTGAGGATAAACAGCTTATAAGTGCTGGACTCCCCTGCCTCTTCTGCTAATACCTGATCTATCTCCCACACATGAAGAACCCCAAATCATTTCATTTAGAGTTTCCTTCTTCAGATAATTTGCCACCAGCAACAACAGGAAAATATGGGCAGGAGGGCAAAAGATACCTCATGTATTAAACTGATTGCAGCAGAAAGAATTTCCCAAGACTGAAATACCTTGTTTGCAAACTTGTGAGTATTGCACCACCAAACTCTTCTGTGCAAGGTAAATAGATAGAGGGGAACATGGTAAAAGTTATTTCAGTTTGCCAATAGATTTGCAAAGGCGTTCTAATCCAGTAAAATTTCCTAATGAAAACCCTAGCAAACTTATCTATGAGGAGAACTGGTCTTAAAATTAACTGCATCACAGACAGAAGAAACTAATAGATATCAGTGAGATAATTTGAAAAGTTTTCTGAGTGTCCACATCAACAATGTGCTTTCATGAGAACTAATAAAGAAAAACAGACATTCTTTCTTCATGTACCTTAACTGCTGAGGAATAGGTATGGTTTTCAGTGGCTGTGACTGCAATTTACACTAGGGTCACTAGGCCAGATATTCAATATACCACCACCAGACCCACCTGCCAGCAACTGGTTGGTTAGTAACCATTTCAGGCTGCAAATGCCTTGTTTGTTTTGGCAAAAAGTCCCACCATGGTGCTGAGCAACCTGAACATCATGGTGATGAACAGAAACTAGTCATGAACCACTGCAGACAAGAAAAGATAGCATGGGTTTAATGATAAAGAAGACAAGCTACTTCATCACACTGATGTTTCTTCAGTGGTTTCAGAAGCAGACCACATCAGAGTGAAATGACTCTGCAGAACAATAGTATTTCAGTAAAAGGAAACTCAAGCCAACTATCAGAAGCACATCCCGACTGTAAAGGTGGCTGACAACAGAAAGGAGCCAAGCAGCTACTCCTTTCAAGCCAGGTAGAATATCTGTTCTCCCTCATGGTTTCATTTCCATGAGGACATACCACACTGTATGCCACTAATCTGCACCCTGCTCAACTGTCAAGCCATTTAATGTAAACGATTTCCTGTTCTTCATTAAACTTTTTTTGTAAGATGGTTCTTGCCAAGGCCAGATATGACTCCACACCCAACAAAAAGACAGTGTAAAACTGCATTGCACTGGGAAAGGACTTACTAGCAAGTAACTGTAGTCTTTGGTTCTGTCCCTTCTCTTATCTCCTTTTTCCCTCTCACTCCAAGGCTTACAGAAAATCTGCACAGCTTGATACTGTTGCACTAATTTCCTGTTAGGAAATAGATGCATGGTTCTACAACCAGTATTATCAGTCTACTAAAGGAAAAAAAAGGAAGGAATACCTTGCCTGGAAGCACACCTACTGTTACAGCTCAGCTCCTAGGTACATGTTTTACACATCAATAGTGGAGTCAAACTGAAAATATTAAAAGTATCTTGCAGTGTCTTTTCCTGTCTTTCTATGGATACTACTTACATTAAAACTATGACAAAACAGAAGAGCTTTCGCAGTTCCAACTAATACGGTGACACTGAAATAAAATCAGCAAGTTCATACCATCTTACTGGGTACTTGAGAAACAGATATCTGATATTACTGCCAGAGATTAATTTAAGGCATTAAGAACTGGAGACCTTCTCATACTGGGTCTAAAAGATTTTTCAGATACATGTTGTGCTTGTACAGAGGTTAGTCAAGTTCTTGAAGATCACAAAAGCATGGAAGATTCCAACAAGCAACTCTCCAGTGAATGTTAAGCACATCTTTATAGAAAATACATATGCAACTACATGGGTATGTGTGCATTATAAGCAAAGGCATCATCATTTGCCTTCTGAAGATTTATATAGATTTTTTCCTACTAAATAATGATAAGAAAATCTAACCTAGTGAGTTAGACCCCTATCGGATCTGGATGAGGATGAGCTTGTTTTCCCCACTGCAGCTTTGTATTAGTGGCTAGAAAGGAGTTTGTATGACACCCGTGTTTTGGCAGCTGCTGAGCAGTGCTCATGCAGAATCAGCACTGTCTCTCCAGCATTCCCCCCGCATCGGTAGGCTGGGGATGGGCAAGATCTTGGGAGTGGACAGAGGTGGGACAGCTGACCCTAACTAATATTCCTTACCATTTGACATCTGGTCAGCAATAAAAGCTAAGAGAAAGGGGCAAAGGAGAAGAGGGGAAAGGCAGTAATTATAGTGATATGAGTGGGAAGGAACTGGGCTCCTGAGAATCCTGTTTGAAAGAACATTTTTTTCCACTTGGCATAAAGAAATCAGAATGATTTGCTTATGACACAGAAGAAGGCATCTATTTTGCTAAATACAAAGAGAACACAATAAAATGTTGTGATGGATTAGATTACAGTACATAAACCTGAAATTTATTTGCAGGTTCATGGTGATGTGTTGCTGGACTATTTTTAACCACAAGAATTACCATGTAATCCCAAAGTCAATTAATACTTTGAGATTACAATTGAAACTTCCACAGTGAAGTTTACTGTAAGAATGCTGCTCTTATTTTAGTAGCAATGAATATTAACTCCATGGTTTTTTTTTATTTATGCAGTGATTTTAACTCTGCCCTAATGTTAGAATGAACTGGTTAGTTTCAAACCTAGCAAAAGAAATAGATGGTACCTCAACCTAATCTGTTAACCATAACTGTAGTTCACAGACTGATACTGAATTTTATCATCAACATACTCAGAAAGATCTGCAAGTTTCTGTTGTTTTCACTACTTTGGCTAAGGTGAAATGCAAACCAAAACTAATTCTTACTGTAGTAAGGTTATGCCACTTGGCATTGTGTAGTGGGTTGGCTTTTGGATTTTTTAGGCCTTCCTTAGCAACGGGGTCAGAAATCTAAGGAAGTATTCCATATCATCCTTTAGCATAACACAACATATAAATAAGGCGCAGATAAGAGAGCCCGCTCTCTTCTCTCTTCCAGTGGCTGAAGGCGACAGGTCTCTCCGCAGACGGTCTTTGCTTGTACAGGCCAGGGCCTGCCTGCTCCGCCCTGCCGTTATCTCCGTTCCCTTCGGGAGGCGCGGGGAGTTGGTTGGTGCTTCACACAGTTCTGCTGTCTCATTCAGGGAAGTATTTAATTCAGTTTTTTGTATTTATTCACTATCTCTCTATTAACGGGATATTTGGAGGATTTTTTTTTTTTAGTGTTTTTTATCCTTTTTTCCCCCCTCCCTTTTCTTCCCCCCCCCCGAGCTCCCTATTGTGTGTACAATATATTCAAATTGTATATATAATTGTAAATATATATGTAAATATATATTTTTTATATAATTCCGTTTTGTTCAGACTTCTTTTGGGTTTTTTGTGGTTCATTTTTTTTTCCCTTGCTTGAGAGAGCGGGAGTGGGGAAGAGACAGCTTGGACTTGGCAAGAGAGAGCCAGGCCAAACCTACACACATTGGCAGGAGGTGACAGCTTCAGCCTTGTAACTTAACCCACCCAGTGTATTTGGAACAGTATTTTATTAACTGGTTGTTCAGCTGTATCCTTGTACCTCTCTCCACCTTGCAGACCTAATAAAATCAAAAGCCAGAGCAACTTGTGAAATCAAAATTAAACTATCACTAATGTTCCTATCCAGAAATACTAGTTTTGAGTTTAATAATAAATTCAGTCCACCCTTGCTATTGTTTTCCCATTTAAGTAAAACAGAAGACTATCATATGATTCTAAAGTCACAAAAGCATCCATCATAAACAAGTTTCCTCTCAGCCCCTTCAAGTGTTAGTCAAAGATCTGAAACAGAAAGTGGGATGAAAAAAACCACAAAAGAGTACATTTGTTCTTTCTCATCTGAGTGCACATACTGAAATATAATAATAATGGCCGGTCTTCGCGAACGAAGATTTTTGGGGAAAGGTCTTTTACCTTTCCAGCCTGCGCAATGGATTTTTTAGGTGAGACACAGCCTGCGCTGAACTGAGCCCACCCTTTAATCCTAAGGTTCATCTGCCAGGGCCAAGCAAGCTTGGACAATGGCAGTGAGGTCCTCAGGACGTAGGTTTGTTTAGAGTGACCTTCTCATAGATGGATGGCCTCACAGGGCTAACGGACTCCATCTGCCCGGGGGACTGGCTGGATTCGAACCTGGGTCGCAGAGGTGAGAGTCCTGCACGCTAACCACTAGGCCACCAGGGGTCCCTATACTGAAATATATATTTTATATATATATAGGTATATATGTATGTGTATGTATATGTATATGTGTATATATATACCTAAATATAGAATATTCACCCACCACTCTAAAATACACCCTTGACAAAGCAAAGGTCAACCATTTCAGTCCTCCTTGGGTTGCGGATTGCAATGAGCTGGCCTTTCATTGCAGATACACAGCTAGAGAGGTGTGCAACTCTTAACAATTCTGTTTCATTGTGCATCTGAAAAGACAGATTCAGTCTTGATATCAATAAAGGGGCCATTTAAACTACTTACTGTCTCCGCAGCACTGGGCAGGCTATGACTTTTGGAGTTCAGACCCACTGGAGACAATATAATTTCAAGGTCAGGCTTTGCACAAAACCAGAGTTACAGCCTCCAAATCCAAGTGAAATTCTGCAAGTGGTGACAGATTTCTGGAAGGAGATTAAGAAGTAGGGACTAAAGAGGCAGATTAAATCCCCTTTGACTGCTTTCCTGCCAGAGAGTAAATCTACGTATGATTTCTGAGGTGGGTGATTAATAGAGGGACAGGAAAATCACATTTGAGCAAAGCCAAGAAAAACAGCTAAAATGAATGGGACATTTGTCCAAGTAAAAGCAAGACTCTTTCTGGAAATATACTGTGCTACTCACCTGCTCAGAATGTAATGATTCCAGCTCACAGCTCCAATTACAGACAGGTGGCCAAACATATTTTTCAACCTATTTCTAGTTTCAATCTTCCACAAATGCCAATCCAAAACAAACAAGAAATTTGACATCAAAAAGAAAACAAAATTGTTCCCTTGGTTTGTTTCCAAGCCACTGCCCAGTTCTGAATTGACATATGGACAACCTGAAGTTCATTTATTCACAAGTAAGACAACGAGTATTTCAGAATTTTGACACCTATATCAGTGATGTTGAAGTCAGACAGGATTGCAGGGGATACACATCTGTGAGTTTAAAGCTCTCTATATACATGTCAGTATTTGGAAGTTCATACATGGAAGCACTGGCCTTCACTACCTTCAGATTGCTGACTCATGACTGCAACAGGTAGGTCAAGGTATTATCTAACACATAAGCCAAAGTCACAGGAAAAATTGTTATTAGCAGAACTTTTCATATGTGCTCTCCCACTTGAAACCACCCCCTCCCCCACACAGTAATTAACTTTTTTTGCTTTCTTGTGTTTATTTCCCCCAAAAAAGTATCCCCCCTCAACACTTAACCACAGGAAAAGGTTTTTAAAATGCACATGCTTCGATCACACCACACTAAGCTCATGACAGAACATTAACAAGAAACAAAAGCAAATAAAAGTATGAGCAAGAATGACCTTTGTGGTCATTATCTTCAAAGACTCCTAAACGTAATAAAATTTTTAAAAATGTCAGATCATTAGTACTATGAATCATTTAATGCTAAATTTTTACGTCTAGCATTAGCATTTTTATGTTTTAACTTCCTATTTTGAATTATGCTCCAGAGAGGAGTAAATAGAATGAGTATTAAAAGTTTCAGGGGCAGATGATGTTACTTGTCTCTACTGAAACAGGAGGGTAAGCCCAAAAGAGTTAACTAAGAAACTTGGGCCTACTAACAAGTTACTTACATTCAAAACGATCTGTTCTGTTCTGCTAACTGGACCAAAGCTTAACAGAGTGCTAAAGGTATATGTAATGGGCCTAGAGGCAATAAATTAGGATACAGTAGGCTAAAGTAGACATTTGAATAGGAGAAATAGGTCAGGAGCCAGGGCTTTCTCCAAGCTTGAGCGAGTGGGTCAAGAACAATGGAAAGGAAGAAAGGTCAAACTGAGGAAGATGAGAATAAGCCCCCTCCCCATGGGATGAAGATCAGATGTACCCCTAAAATTGGGGGCCAAGAGAAGCGCCGCCCTAAGCTCCGCCTGAGCTCCACCTGTTATCAATATGTATGAATAGGTGTTATAATCACTTGAATATGCATTTAATCACATTTGGAAATTGTATAAAAACTGCTGATTTTGTGTGAAGCCTTCGAGCAAGTTTTTCCAGCAATAGCTGGCTTGCTCCCAGTGCTGCTAATAAATACCTTTGCTGCTCAAAAGATCAAAGTTTCTCTGAGCAGTTCTTTATACCCGATTTTTCGGATTCACTACAACTAACCTCTGTTCAAAAAAATTCAACACTGAAAAAGTTTTGTACTCTGTAGATTAAATACACACATAAACATCCTATATGAAAGTCCAATGACAAATTGTGGAGAACTTATTTTGTGCAATCCTCCCCTACTCTGTCCTGAACCTTGTCTCCTAATCCAAAATTCAGTTTTGACAGACAACAAGTATTTCCCCTTTCAGCTGTGGTACTCCCTGCCTCTGAAGATGAGCAAGAAGCACATTAGGGTGATTTTCTTCTGTATCTAAAATTTTGTGCAGTTAAAAAACTACACAGATTTTCAGGAAGGACTTCAGATCTGGCCAATGGGTTATCTAGTGCTTCATTCTAACCCTAAAAACGTCTAACATCAGTAAAATGAGATCTGGTTTACAGAAAAACCTGTACTTCTAATATCTAGACTTTTCACTGTGTTTGAAAAATTTTACAAAGCCTTCTTGAACCCAACAAAGTAAGATAATTCAGGAAAAATTAAGGCACTTAATTGTCATATTCGATGAATAGCAACACTTCTGAAACACTGAAAATGTTTTTCTTCTTTAACACTGGTAGGTGTCATTGCCCAGTGAAATAACAGATGAAATCATCTCTGTAACTCATTTCAGGTTTTTCTTCTCTCATCAGTAACTCATCTACCCCAAATTCATACTGGTTGCCCTTTCAGCTATATTCACCTACTTCAAGACACATGACTGTGTATAACAGGCTTTTTCATTAGTGGAAATTAAGTTATTTTGTGTTATTTTGCCTGGGTACTCGTGGATATCACTAACTTTTGATAAGATTTTGGCTCTCAAGTGCCTGTGTCAATTCTCAAAATGAGACTCAGGAAGTGATAAGTAGTCAGTACTGTCACACCATACTATTTGATTTAAAAGTGGGTGAGTGAAATCAAACCTGGTATTCCTGATGCCCATATTCATTTGCCATTAGGGGTAAAAAACACTCTGACTAATTCCTTGACTGCTCTGAAAGGAGGCTTATTTGCACAGAGAAAAGCAACAAAGGAAAATATAAATCTATCACATATACCCCAACTACTTCTACAGGAAGCAAAATCCAGATTCATAAAGAAGCTGATTTTTACTGCTTTTACATGAGAATGAAACAGGCCCTGACTGGCAAGAACCCATCATACAGAAATAGCCAGATCACCAAAAAAAATCATCTGCCCAAGACAGAACACAACAAAATATTGGTCTGATATTTAATGAATTGGCTCACACTCAAATAAGTATGGGAATACTTGCATTATTTCACAGATTATCTGTTCAGATTACCCCTGTTTTCAAATTACTTGATAATTCACACTTCCTTATGTTCATTCGTTCCTAGGATACTTTATGGAGCAAAATAATCAACTCCCCCACAGATGAAACCAGAGGCAGTGCTAGAGACAGTTTGCTCCAGTTACCTTTCCCTACAGGTTAGAACAACAAGGCTCCACAATCTCTACATGTCTTGCACTTCCATGTGCAACAGTCCATATGATATATATTCTCTCCCATTCTGCAGCACAACCCAATACTATTTGTAGGGTTTGGAAACAAAAAAGCTGAAAGGAAACGAATGTTTTAGGGTCATCAGTACATCTGATGGGACCCAAAAGATAGCCAGGTAAAATACTAGGGGTTAACTCCACTGAATGAGCTGGAATACTATCTGTTCAGAGGTTGTGAGAGCTCTAGAAAGAAGCCCTGAGCAGTTAAATCTCAACCACTTCGTATTATTCTTTAACACTTGCTGGAACAGTTAGATGCACCTTTCCAGTGTAGATGCAAATTTCACTTTCTTACTGTTCAGTGTGCCTGAAAATGTTTGCTCTATACACATACCTTTCCAGATTCAATTGGCATTTTCACAGACCTTCACACGATCGCTTCCTTCAATGCTATATCCAACCTCTTGGACTACTGGAAGCTAGAAGCACTTTTCTGCAAATACATTGAAGTGAAAACATGGCTGAATGAAGAATTCCATTGTAAAACGTATTTAATTATCATGGATAATGCCAGTCCCATCAAAGGGCTCAACACTCATTATATGAAAGCTTCAAAGAGTTTGTGTCTGGGATGGGAGAACAATAATACCAGTGCTGAAATCATGTGCTCTAACTTCAGGGACTTGAGACATCTTTCCTCCCATAAAACACCAATTCATTGCTAGTGATCACACAAACTTTAAGAAAGTTGTTTGAACAAGGCCACTTTACCAGAGAAAGAAGTTCCAGGCCTGTACATCTGGAGTAGCGACCACAGGTCACCTGCCAAACCCTATCGCCCTCTTGTCCTCTTCTGAATTGGCCCTTGGGCTGATGCTGCCAGCATATAGTGACATGCTTCCTGCATGTAGCCAACAAGTCTTTGAGGGAAGGTCAGTTTTGTTGCGCATATACTGCAGGGCCATTGATTCCAGCATGAGACCTATTGGATATTAGAGTCCCTCAAACCAGTGTCCCAGACACTGGACTCCAAGATTCCATTCCTTAAACCAGTATTACAATATGAAACTGAAAACAGGTACAAGGTATCTCTAAGGAATGAGATCTTCTAAATTACATTAGCATTTCCTTAGGTATCAAATAAACAGATGATGCAGCAAAAATGAAAAAAGGGAGATATGAATTGTTATTGGAACTTTTTTTTTTTTAAATAGTTAGCTTGGGTCTTTAATCAAGATTTGGACAAAGGCCCAGATCAGCTCACACAGGACATGACCGTAGCCACCAACTCCTAGTAATATTCATTTTTTCACAATATTCACTGAGATGAATGCTCTGATTCCAGTTTTCTGCTTGTTCTGTAATCCTTTGTTTATAGTAATGTGGAAATGCAGATGTTTTCACCAGCTACTCAAGATCAGTAAATTTTATCTCCAATGTCTGTGAAATCCACCCTTCCAAGCACAGTCTGTATTACTCTTCTTCAAAGCCCTGCTGCAATCATGACAAGAAATGTCTTAGAAAAAATATAACTGAGAAAAAAAGAAAGTGTTTCTTCTTTATATATTCCATCTGTTCTACAGTGGGCCTTCAGTTTTGAGAGGCATTTTCTGTAAGACTTACACAGACAACTTGGCAGAAAGCTAATCACATAGCTTGGATCTGTGTCCCTCTAAAATAAGTGTAGACATTTCTGTGGAAAACTCATTGTGTATACTAGGAAGTAATATTTTGGCCCAGAGAGACCACACACATTCACTGGTATGTGAGAAGATTTTATTCTCAATGGATCCCATCCCTTTATACTACCAGGCAACACGAAGTAAATAGTCATTTATTACTGTATCTAAGAAGATTAATGGGTTTTTGTATGCATTTAGCCAGGACTGACTTTCAAATGGTTTTAGGAAGAACTTAGGTTTTGGTCATGCCACAATGTATCATCAAGACCCCCCCTGGAAAACGGTTGTGGTCCTTGATGTAGCACAATGAATATTTTAGCTCTAACTCAACTCCTACTTGTAAATTACAGTATTGTTCTAGGTTTACATAGAATCATAGAATATCCTCAGTTGGGAGGGACCTACAAGGATCATTGAGTCCAATGCATGGCCCTGCACAGAACAATACCAAGAATCCCACCATGTGCCTGAGAGCACTGTCCAAATGCTTCTTGAACTCTCTCAGGTTTGGTGTTGTGACCACTTCCCTGGGGAGCCTCTTCCATCCCAACCATTCTCTGGGTGAAGAATCTTTTCCTAATATCCAGCTTAAACCTCCCCTAAAACAGCTTTGGGCCATTTCCTTGGGTCCTGTCACTTTTCACCAGAGAAGAGATCACTGCCTGTCCCTCCACTTCCCCTCACAGGGAAGTTGTAGACTGCAAAGAGGTCTCCCTTGGTGTCCTCTCTCAGTGTCTTCTTCTCCAGGCTGAACAAAGCAAGTGACCTCAGCCACGCTTCATGCAGCTTCCCCTCTAGGCCTTCTTTGTGGTGTAAGTCATTTCACTGTAGGGATGAAAGACTGACACACAGTCCTGTATTGGGAACAGTGCTGTTTAATATCACCATCAACAACATACACAATGGGACTGAGTGCACCCTCACCAAATTTGCAGATGACACCAAGCCGAGTGGTGCAGCTGACACACCTGAAGGACAGGATGCCATCCAGAGGGACCCGGACAAGCTCAAGAAGTGGGTTCATATGAACCTCACGAGGTACAACAAGGTCAAGTGCAACGTCCTGCATACAGGTCAGGGCAAACCCCAGTATCAAGAAAGGCTGGGGGATGAACAGATTGAGAGCAGCCCTGCCCAGAAGGACTTGAGGGTACTAAAGGATGAAAAGCTGGACATGAGCTGGAAATGGGTTCTATAGCCCATAAAACCAACTGTATCCTGGACTGCATAAAAACCACGTGGCCAGCAAATCAAGGGAGGTGATTCTGCCTCTATTCCACTTTGGCAAGACCCCACCGGGAGTGCTGTGTCCAGGTCTGGGGCCCTCAGCACAAGAAAGACATGGAGTTGTTGGAGTGGGCCCAGAGCACAGCCACAAGAGTGATCAGAGGGCTGGAGCACTGTTCTCTGAGGACAGGCTGAGAGAGTTAGGGTTGTTCAGCCTGGAGAAAAGAAAGGCTCTGGAGAGACCTTACCGTGGCCTTTCAATACTTACAGGGGGCTGATAAGACAAACGAGTATAGACTTTTTAGCAGGCCCTGTTGTGATGGGACAAAGGGTGATGGATTTAAACTAAAAGAGGACAGACTGATACTAGATATAAGGAAGAGATTTTTTACAATGAGTGACGCATTGAAATAGGTTCCTCAGAGAGATGGTAGATGGTCCATTTCTGGAAATATTCCAGGCCAGGTTGGACCTGATCTAATTGAAGATGTCCCTGCTCATTGCAGGGGCTTTGAACTAGATGACTTTCAAACGTCCCATCTGATCCAAGCTATTCTATGACTCTATGATTAAGAGTGAATAAATACCATGTACGCATCTCCTAAAAGACATTATACTTTAAGGAAAAATGTTTTACATACATTAATTCATAGAAAGTGCTTATCCTCTCACCCCAAAAAAAGTCACATTCAATTTCTCTGTTGGCTAGATTTACTTAGGATTATTAAACCAATTGAGTTGTGTATTTTAACAATTATAAAATTCACAGACTCTCCAATCAGTCCATGGAGGGGTACAGGAAGAAAGAAATCACTGCTGTTGAAAGGAAGATTTTCCAGACTATTTTGTTTATTAAGAGAAGAAAATTATTGTCCCAAGGATCAGGTTTCCTGGAATGATATAAAATTGGGTTTTTTCCAACATCCAGTGACATTCAAGAGTACAATTATTACAAAGTGTCAGTCAACAAGCCCGTTATGCCATCTGTCCTGACACTACCTCCTTTTCCCAGAAGCTGAGCTTAATACCCTCATAGAAACTTCTCAAGTATATAAATTTAGGATTATAATTTAGGGCATTAAGTATACACCTCTGAAGCAACCTTACTCAACAGTTATGGTCAAAAAAGTAATCATGTAAAAACAGCTATTAGCATCTTCACTACTGACCTTGCAACTGATGCCATCCAGGAAAGGAAAAGATAAGAAAAACTGTGGTCACTGGCTAAAAAAATACAACAATACATAAAAAGTCACAAAGAAGTAGCAAGAAAATAGAGATGCGGGTTTGAGTGTAATGTTATGGTAATAGATTTTTTAAGTACCACCAGGTTTCACGTGAGAAATCAATTTTCACATTAGCAAAGACAACCAGGTGGATGGGTAGAGAGCACGGATTTATGTTCCAAAAAGGAATGGATAATGCCTAAAAAAAAAGAAGAATCGTGTGTCAGTCTTCACTAGGAAAAATGAACTGATAAAGTGCACAGCAATAGAAAAAACACCTAAATGGGAAATTATCTGAGGTCTTTGTTTCACATTAGGCAGATTCCATGTGTTCTTTCACCCTTGACCAAGAATCTGATCACTTATGGTCATGATAAAAAAAATGTTCTCAGAAATCTACTTTTTGGTAAATTTTTAATAGCACCTCATTCTGTTTACATGACAAAATGAACAGCTACATCCTGCAGAACTGAAGCAATTATCTTCTTCACACACAGTGGGTATTAAGGCAAGTGGAAAACTGAGTCATTCACGCTTTTCATGCATAATTCTTACAATACACACTTTCCCTCAGAGGTAACAAACCCATCTTGAGGGTTTCACTAGTCGTTTTGATTTTACTTTGCAGGACAATAGCCTGGAGAAAGGAGAGTGAACCTGAATCAAATAAATGACAAACAAATTGCTCCTGACTTTCCTGCAACCGACACTTCCTAAATTGACCTTCTCATGTTACTGTTGTCCAAGTCAACAAGGTATTACCCTCATAACATATTCCAGGCCAAAGACAAGGTAAAAAAAAATCAGAAAAACAAATATCCTACCTGTGTGTTTGAATGCTGCACTATTCACCTGTTTCTTTTCTATTTCAGCTCTCCTGTTACTCCTTCTTTCCAAACCTATTGCAGCATGACTGCTGGGTAAAGTCACAAGAGTTTTCATGACAGAGAGTTTCTTAGACACCTGAGAGTTACCGGATAAACAATTTTAATTGAAACAATTCCTTAAAGAAAAACATGTACAGAGATATTTGTCAAGTACTTTTCAGAATAACACTGATTGTAAAATAGCAGTACTCTAAAAGCAGATTTGACACACTAAGTGGGACAATCAAATACTGACATCTGAACCAGTCACCCTGCTTTCCTTCTGTCAGTGAAGATAAAGAGACATTTCTACAGCACTATTCACCTAAAAGAGGTATCTAAAAAAAGTCAGATTGATCACTCCCTGTATAAAGAATGCCTGTTTACTACTGCAGCTCATGTCCAGCCTTAGATTTATTGACTAGTTACACAGGATCATACCCCATAGGAAATTAATATCTGATTTCCCAGAACCATACAGGCTTTCAACACTGCTAATAGTGGCAGCATACAGGACTTTCTGTTCTAGAAACTGAAGAAGGAAAGACTTCACATCGTCTTAGAACCTGAATTCCTTAGACATGTGCATGCATTATTCAAAAGCTCTGGTATTCTGCTGTTGAAAAGCTCTGGTATTCTACTTAGCAGAAAACAGAACTGCACTTTTTGACCAACATCATAGGAACATATCCTGAACACTAAGCGGCATGTTTCACTTACTCTCTAAATATTTCAATTATTAATCAAGAGGTCAACTGTGTTTAGATCCCTACATCTTCTGGGAAGTTCTTCTTGGACATGCAACCTGCAAACCCTTCCCCAATTTCCCCTAGCATTGCTTGAAGCACGAGTCAGCACACTAAAAGCTCATTCAACCTTTCTTCAGTTCCCTCTGTTGCTGATGGAAACAGCCTCCCCTAGACTCAGCTGTCCTTCAGAGCAACTCAGAGTGCTGGAAGTTTGGTCTGTTTTCTGAATGGCCCTCAGGCAAGTGAGTTGAGTGTGTCCCTTGGTTGTTGTGCCTTTGTCAGTACATAAAGCCTTAGGCATTGGAGGAGAAACAACAAGACAAGCTCCTCCTTCAGTGAGTATACACTACAGCAAATTCAGGCCTGCAGACTGATCCAAGTTCTGCAGTTACAGCTAGGTCTGCAGGAGCTGCACACAAGGCAAGAGAGAAGCAGAAGGAAGTGTAGGAGAGAAGCCTGTATGAGCTCCCTGCTCTCCTGTCAGTTATTGATAACTACTCCAGCTGTGAAACTGCTGCAACAGACCCTGTGCACTCTTATAGTCCAGTGAAACTTAAACCTTTTTCAATACATGCCCCATCACAGAGGGAAAAAAAGGCTGGTCTGCCACAGGCGTTGCTTGACTTGTTTTTCTCTCCTTTTCACTCTCCTCTATATCAGCTGCCTGTGTGTTCTGCTGCCCTAGGCTGTCTCTATGACCTGCTGCCATAGGCTGTCTGCACACTGATGAGGGGAACCTTGGGTTGAGCTTTCCTCTCACAATAGCAGCATGCGCCTGTCAAGAGAATCACAGAATCAGAGAATCACAGAATCAATTAGGTTGGAAAAGACCTCTGAGATCATTCAGTCCAACCAATAACTGAACATCACCATGTCAACTTCACCATGTCATCAAGTGCCACGTCCAGTCTTTCTTTAAACACCTTCAGGGTCAGTGACTCTACCTCCTCCTTGGGCAGTCCATTCCAATCTTTAATCACCCTTTCTGTGAAGAAATTCCTCCTAATGTCCTACTTAACCCTCCCCTGGTGCAGCTTAAGACTGTGTCCTCTCATCCTGTCACTAGCTGCCTGAGAGAAGAGACCGACGCCCACCTGGCTACAGCGTCCATGCAGGTAGTTGTACACAGTGACGAGGTCTCCGACCCTGAGCCTCCTCCAGGTTAAACAACCCCAGCTCCCTCAGCAGCTCCTCACAGGACTTGCGCTCCAGAACCTTCACCAGCTTTGTTGCCCCTCTCTGCACTCACTCCAGTACCTCAATGTAAAAAAAACAAAACAAAACAAAACAAACAAAAAAATCAAACCAAACAAAAAAAAAAATACTTTGTCAGGATGCTGACCTGTAGCTCTGCCTGCAGACTGCTGCAGCTGTGCACTGCTAGAGCCCCGGCAGTGTGAGACGGGAAACACCAACCCTCAGCTCGCACTAACTCCCTGCTGCATGCAGTTTCAGAAATCCCTGCAGGAGGCCATCCTCTCTCCACAGGAACTAGTTCCTCTGCGTGGTGACCTGGCGCCCCGCCGGCCGTGCTGCTGGGCGGGGGCTCGGCGAGACCGCGGGCGGTTGCTGCCACCATGTGCCGGCAGGGATGTTCGACGGAGCTCCGGCAGGGAGCGCTTGAACAAGGAGCACCTGCCCGAGCTTGAGACTTGCAAGAGAAGACAAAACACTGAGATTAGACATGGCTTAATATCATCCTGTCTCTTGACGCTATTTGTAGTTGTGCTGTGCCGCGCCACACAGGCTCAGCCTAAGCTAAGAGCAACAGCCACGGACGCTGGGCTGAGGACGACTCCGCCAGTCACACGAGTGAAAAAAAGAGTGAGGAGGGGAAAAACAGCGTGAAACAAATGTTTCTGGTCTGATAAGTACACCTGAATCAACTGTGGCACAGAAAGTCTGTGGCAGCGAAAAAAAAAAAACAAAAAACAAAACAAAACAAAAACAAACAAACAAAGTTTGTGTCACTCGTGCACTGAGCTATGGCACTGGCCTTTGAAGGACCCAAGGCGCCTTCGTGCATTTAGCATAGGCTCATGGGTCTGGTCATTTCTGAGAGATGGACACTAGGCAAGCCACACATGCTGGCTGCCTAGAACCAGGCTGGTTTTCTGATCTCCACACAAAGAAGGATTTAGATATCTTCTGATTTCTGAACCTTCTTGCCACTGCTGTGGCTTATTCAAGTCATTATTTCTAATGTTATCTTACACTTTTTAATGTATTAAGGCATACTAAGTAAAGACTAAATGACAGATTTACATTTTTTTAATTTACATATGTTCAAATTCATTCACAGAGCAATTCGTGGCAGAAAAAGATAAAACATTAGAATGTATCAAAATCTGAAATGTAGAAGCCTAATATTAAACAAAATATTTTGTTTTTTCAGACAAATTTTAAGCAATGTTTTTGGTGAGAGTAACAACAGAAGGCACAACTGGGTTTCTGGGTAATTATTAGGTACACGAGTAAATATTTATAATATATTAAGGAGGGATTATTTATTTATTTCTGAAATAATATTAGATGTAAGTTACAAACTGTTGAGATGTAGCTTAGACACCATGATCTTGCATGGGTTTTCTGTAACCAAACACATTCAAACCTGCTTTTAAAGTCACCATTAGTCACCTGTGCTCGTCTGTTGAGTACAGCTTTGCTCATTTTAGCATGGAAGTCTGTGCCTTTTCTGTCCCAGCCATCAAAACACCATTCCCACAGGCCTTACTGCCAGGCAGAGATGAAGCCTTACATGTCCTCAGATACAAATACCGAAATTTCACAGTGTTTCCCAAGCATCTCTCTGTTATGTAGAACTGTGTGAAAGTCTCCATATAGTCTTGTTAAACAAAATTAACATGGACTTTAGCTACTTAGAAATTGTAGAAATGATCGAACATGCCACTATGAACTTGTACAAATCAATGATACTCATAGTGATACTGAAGTCACTGAAAAGAAAGAAACCACCAGATTCCAGGTTTCACATTCAGAAAGTTCTGTTCTATATTTGTCCTTTAAAATGTAGCATCTAAGTGCAGCAAAAAATCAGGGTGATAAGAAAAAAATCTGAGACAGAAATCACTCTTCAATGGTGGTTTGGAAAGTTAAGAGGGAAAGAAAGTAAGCAGACATTGGCAAGCAGCATAGACAGGCAAGAGCATAGAAAAGCCCAGAAAAATAGAAATGTGAAGAGGACAAAATCCTGAAAGTTGAAAGGAAGAGGGGAATACCAAATGGACAGAAAGAGGGAAGAACTGATCAGGGGAAGACAAGATGAAAGACAGAGGAAATTTCAGGGTTGTATATAACTGAATTGTAACCACTACATGTTGATGCACCCCTAGAAACCAAGAGCAACAGGCAAGAATCTTTAAAACATAAAACGGTAAAATGAAGACAGATAAAACACCAGACATGTGGCTCTGAAATTCAGAGAGTCTTGCACAATTGGCTCAGCAAAACAACAGTGGAGCTGCTTGGCTTACACATGAGATTCTCAGCTAACTCTTTCTTCTCTCATGCAGGCCTTCAATCTTACTATCTCAGCAGTAAGATGCCGGTAACTGTCATCTCATACTGCCAGTTAGCCAGTAGCAATTAAGAAAGCAACCCATATCCATCATCATTCTGTCCCTTCATGATGTTCGTAGTGGTGCTGTGCCATGCCGTGCTGGCTCAGCACTTCTAAGCAAACAAAGCTGCCAGTGGTCTCATGGCAGCTGATGACATGCAGGGCTGAGTCTGTAAACAGGGTGATTTCAGCCATCCTGCCTTCCTTCTACCTGAACAACTGGCCCCCAGGCTGCTTCTCCAGGTCTGTTTGACAGCATAGCTGCCTCCTGCAGAACAACACTGCCAGAGATGCCAGAGGAGCCCAGAGGTTGTGCTAGAGCTGTACTACAAACCAACAAGAGATCCCAACAGCTCTCAAGACTGTGCAGATGAACACTGGAATATCCCACACAGGTCAGTCAAACAGAGCAATCAGCATCCTTAGGTGATGAGAAGATCCTTTTCATTCATTTCTTCTTTTTTTTCACCCAGATTCATCTCTGTACTCTAAAGCCCAGCAGGCACTGTGATCTTGAACAGCTGTTTCAGCAACAGAGACAAAAATGAGCAGCTTGCTCTTTCTGTCTGAGATGCGAGTTTCATATTTCAGCTCCTCCTTCACATTCCAGGCCTGCCCAGGCTCCCCTCCAAAGATTTCAAAAATGGAGCCTTTTACAACTACTTATCCTCTGAAATATTCAGTGCCCAAAGCCAGGGTCGTTGTGGTCTTTCTGTCAGTGGTTTTGTGTACGACCATTCTCTGCCTGCTACAACTCAGAATTTTTAAACCTAAAATCAAAGATTTTTATTTCTTTGAAGTCAAAGATTCACGAGGAAGGAACATTTCCTTGGGGAAGTACAGAGGGAAAGTAAGTTTTTGTTTCATTTTATCTGTCTTGAATCGTTACTGACAAAAAAAGTGTACATTTTTAGGTAAATAAAATGTTTGGTTATGGGAATTTTTAGCAGAGATTTTTGTAATAAATTCCTAATCTTTAAATGGTAAGCTGGAGAAACATTTTTTTTCTAGATCTGCTCCAGGAATTAAGTAGTAGATCTAATAAACTAAGAAAAATAAATTCATATTATTTAGTATAGATCATTATAGCCTAACAGGAAAATTTGTGAATTTTAATCTTAGTTAAGAATGGTAGTATGTTGTGTTGAATTTTGGAAGTTGATCTAGTAAATATGATTTTAGTGCAAGTCCTGAATACCTGCTTTTTTAAATGTTTATATTTAAACAAAGCTGCAAGCTGAAGTTTGTCTATTTATTGAATTTTTATAACAGATTCTCTGAATGTAATATCTTCAGCTGCTTTCATCTGTTTAATGAAATGATGATCAGACAGATTAAATTTAGCTTTCTGACAGGAACCATCATAGTAATAAGAAACGCAATTTTAAAATTTAATTATAATCTCTACACTATCTATAGGGTTTTTTCTTACTATTGTAACTTTATTTCTCTGAAGGCAACTTTAGTTGTTAACATGGCCAGTTACTGCCAAAACACAGACAAAAATTACATCGCACTGCAAGAGCTACACAGAGCGTTTGGTTCCTCCCACTTCACTGTGCTGGCATTTCCCTGCAACCAGTTTGGAGAATCAGAGCCTAGTTCAAGCCCAGAAATAGAATCTTTTGCCAAAGGAAACTATGGAGTAACCTTCCCCATTTTTCACAAAATCAAGATCCTAGGATCGGAAGGAGATCCTGCCTTTAAATTTCTAATAGGTAACTGTTTTATATATCAAGCTGCCTGTAACCATGGTATTCTCACTGAATTCCAGTCTGAGTTTGTTTGTCAGGAAACACTGAAGTCTTCAAACTTCTCTGCTCATGGAGAGAAACAGGCACTAAGCATACAATTCATCTCATTTCAATCTGAATGTAAAAAATATGGGCAGAAGGATTGTATCATGAAAGAATCAGTTTCTCCTTACTGATCATAAAAACAGCCTACTGTGACCAGTCCAGCTATAAACATCCATTTTTTGTGGATGCATGAACTTGAGTGCAAAGATTCCTATCTACAAGATCCCATTTCAAGTTACGTGATTTTCATTGAAAAGCAGCTTTTCTTGTGGACAAAAATATAATTATGGATGGTCCTAAAATCACTGAAAGATTTTAAATAAACACATGCAGATTCATTTTTTTAGCAGAGGCATGTGTCCACCTTTATGTAAACTGTATTGTGAAGCAGGATTATATATACTGTAGTTATATATAATCACTGATTTGTGTTAATTTGTCATGTGAACTTCAGGGCCCAGCATGCAAAACCCTCTCATACAAATACCCCCATTACAGAGAGCAGTTACTGACTTAGGGCCTCATATTCTCACAGGCAAAATGAAACTTTCTCTCTTTAGTTGACCAAAGAGCTCATAGACCCAAAGCCAGCTTGAAAAGCCTCTCTGAATTATCCTGAGCTTTGGCCAGGTCTTTGACCCATGCTTAACACTGATATATGAAAGAAAGGATACTTAGAACACAACCTTTCTCCAACGCACCATTTTAACTAGAAAAAATGTAGGAGAAAGCCCAAAACTGTTCTATCTCCTTGACCCAACACAGGGTCACAGTTACCCATACTGTGTTTATCCCAATATTTTTTCCCAATACTTGTGTTTATCCAGACTATTTCAGTAGTTATATGAGAGATTCCAAAACCTCACAGCCTATTTCAGTTTTTCACAGCTCCTCTTATGAGAAAACTACTTAAATATCTAAATTAAATCTTTCTTACAACACTTAAGTATTTTCTTCTTGCCATATTCTCTGTGATACCTCTTATGTACTTGAAAATTGTTATTATTTAGGAGTCATTTATGTTTCACCACTCTCATTGTAACTGTGTTTCTTCCTACCTCCTCTTAAGCAAGATACCAAATACCTCAGTAAACCTTGTTGACCTCAACCCTTGTTGACCTGAGTTGCCTGAGGTCCAGTGGAATTATTGAGGGCTCTCTCAACTCTATAGAGGAGACTAGAGCATGCAGGTTACAGCTG